CCCCAGCCGTGAAGACTGAAGCAAAGAATCCATTTAGTTTCTCCGCAATGACTTTATCGTCTTTAAGCGCTCTTTTTGTATCTTGATCAGAGGCCCCACTGGTTATTTAGCAGGCTTCCTGCTTCTGATGTACTTAAGAAACATTTTGTTATTACCTTTGGAGTTTTTGGCTAGCCGTTCTTCAAACTCCTCTTTGGCTTTTCTTATTACATTCTTGCACTTAATTTGGCAGCATTTATGCTCCTTTCTATTTGCCTCACTTGGATTTGACTTCCACTTTTTAAAGGAAGTCTTTTTATCTCTCACTGCTACTTTTACATGGTTGTTAAGCCATGGTGGTCTCTTTTTTAGTTTCTTTTAGTGTGTTTCTTAATTTGGGGTAGTACATTGTTTGTTTAAACTTATACTGTGTGTTTGTGTGTGTGTGTATATATATATAGTCTTTTTGTCTGGTGAAAAAAATTTCCCTGGAACCTAACCCCCCATTTACATTAATTCTTATGGGGAAATTGGATTCGCTTAACATCGTTTAGCTTAAAGTTGCATTTTTCAGGAACATAACTACAACGTTAAGCGAGGAGTTACTATACAGCAAAACGAAAAAGAGCTGAACAAACAATTATACAGTGTCACTACATTGTTTCTCAAAGAAATTTTGAAAGTAAATTGTGTTCGAGGACTGTAGCAAGAGCCTAAAATAACCAAACCAATGGTAGAGATAACTTTGTAAATGTAATTAGTATTCCAGAGGAAAAGAGATTTAATTCCACTACCGTCGATCGTCCAAAGAACCCGTGACCATTTGTAGCAAAGTACACTTATTTGGCTTTATAGATACTTTAAATTTTTCATTGCTAACTCTAAGTGTTTTCCTGACAGCTCATCATAAAGAAAAATGTTTTAACCGGTTTTGGTTATGTCTGCCATTTGTGGTTATTAAGATGTTGAAACTGCTGAAATTTGACCCTCAGTGAGCAAGTCAGCAAAATGTCTCCAAATTCTCAGATTTGTAAATGGCCAATGCCATCATTTTCATGATGGAAATGACCCATTTTCCCCTCAACCTTTACATCTGAGGTTGATATTTGGCATTTGGCCTGTGTTCAACGTAAGTCCCACTTAAGATCTCAAAACAGAGTTTAATTGGGGCTCGTGCAAACTTGGCCTTGTGCATTCATGAAAAAACAGCCACCAGTTTTTGTCTCTCTGGCCCAGTTCCTCAACCATGGTGCTTAACTCCTGTTGGAAATAATAGGAGACAGGGTCTTTGAAGATCTGGAGGCAAGGTTTCAAACCAGTGGGCCATTAGTGTGGATTGTTGGGCCCAAACTTACTCCATAAGCAGAGTAGAAGGATGTTTTTCTGGTTAAGGCACTGGAATGATGCTCTGGAATCTCAGTTCAGTTCCTACATTGCCCCAAACTTCCTGTATGACCTTGAGCAAGTCACCAAATCACCTCAAGGAGTGTAATGAGGATAAATGGATTCATATGTGTGAGGAACGAATACTATGGAGATGGGAGTGATAACTACCTATATTATTTGTATTCAGTAGGGGCTGTTCAGAATTCACCATTGCCAGAAGTGGAGTTATTTGCAAAGCATGTTGAGTTATCCAGCCCTCCCTTATCCCTTTTCCTTCTTTCTGTCTTCCTGCTCTCTGTAGAGACAGTGTGTAAAACAGGGATGGTGCTGCTCTGTGGGGAGATCACATCCCTCGCCGTTGTCGACTATCAGCGAGTAGTTCGAGACACAATTAAGCAAATCGGCTACGATGATTCAGCTAAAGGTTGGTGCAAAAAATTCCAGGAATCCTGTTTCTTGCCAACATGGTGTGCTGGTCAGTGAGTAGCTGCAGAACAGGTCTGTCTCCACTTGCATATTTGTGCTTCTGCAAGCTCTTGGCTAGGAGCTGCTCAAACATTGTCATGAGAGAAACATTCTGACTCCATCACATACCGAGGAGAAACTATTCACTGTATGGTTAAAGCACACACAGCAGGAAAAGGCAGCTAGGATATTTTTTTGAACTGGAGCATGTTTCATAGATTCATAGATTCTAGGACTGGAAGGGACCTCGAGAGGTCATCGAGTCCAGTCCCCTGCCCTCATGGCAGAACCAAATACTGTTGGCTGTGTAGTGGGGCAGTCACCCTGCTCTGGAAGAGTTAAAAGCCAACCCTTGGAGAGGGCTGGGGCTGAGAGCCAATAAGAATAGGCTGATTGGGAAGGCAGCCACAGCTGGGGCCACACCCAATTAGGCCACAGCTGGCCCTATAAAAGGGCTGTGAGTCAGGAGCTGAGTCTCTCTCTCTCCAGCCTTAGAGGAAAAAGGACCTGGCTGCCTGGGAGCTCAGGGAACAGAGCAGGGCTGGGGAAAGGTAAGAGGAGCTCCAGCCTGGTAAATCCCCAAGCTGCGGGCCTTGCTAAAAGGCTAAAACAGGTACTGCAGAGGCTGCAGCCTGGGCTTAGGCAGAGGCAGCTGGTCTGACCCCCTTGCCAATGATGAGTGGCCTTTACAGACTGCAGTTTGCCCCAGTGAGAGGGGGCTAGATGACGACTGGCAGTAACCACTGAGGCAAGGTGGGTGAGAGGGCTGGGGTTTCCCTTGGGAGGGGAGACCCAGAGCATGGTGGGGTACTGCTGGGGCAGAACCCTGAGGTAAAGGGCACCGGAGTCTGGGAGGGACACGGGGGCCTGAGGCTGGTGAGCCACTGGGCAACAGAGGGTGCTCTGAGCTGGACAAGAACTAATTCCTGAGACGACCAGCAGGAGGTGCTGCAGTGGTGAGTCTCACTTCACTACAGGCAAAGTAGCTGATAATTTGTGCTATAGAATTTACTTCTCAGTTTAACTCCTTGCAACTTGCATGTTGTTCAAATGACCAACCAGGCTAATGTAAATTGGTCAGATGGAGTGGAAATAGAAGACTTTGTGAATTTGTATTATTTATTATGATTATTTAATGATTATTATGTATTACTGTAGAACCTAGGGACTGCAATCATAGCTTAGGCCCCCCCCCCTTGTGCTAGGTGCTGTACAAACACAGAACAAAAAGACAGTCCCTACCCGGAGGTGCTTACAATCAAAGTACATTTCATAGCACTGTGGAGTGTATTAATGATGCAAAAAAGTGTTTTATATCTGAGATACATTTCAACATACATTTATACAGATTGCAAACTGGATCATATTTTTTACATATTGCAAATGTTTTACAGTTGCCATGAAGATTAAGTATGTTTGTTTTACAAAAGTTTTTTTTTTAAGCGGTTTTTCCTGGTTGATATAATCTTGTTGATACAAGACTTCTGAAGAGAGAATGGTGGGAGAATGCTGTAAAAGGACATCTGCTAGTTGGCACCAAAGGCAGAATATTATCTAACATAATACTGCCAGATCCAGTAGTGTAGAAATCTCCTCTTTTTACCTCCTTACCACCAAAGCAGTGTGGGCCCTGTAGTGAACCCAGTCAAAAACCCTGCCCTACAGAAACTATAGGAGAAAAGCTAAAAGGGGCAGAATTGCATACAACTTTTTCCCTTATAGAATTCTTTCCCATCACAGCCTACTTAAAGGAAAGAGGGCATGGAGTGTTCTTCAAGAGGATACATGTCTGGATGTGTATATTTGATGTATAGGTGTTTGATCCTAGACTTGGTAAGCAGCTGTCAGTAGCTGGAATTTTGGGAGAGGTGAGCATAGGGAAAAGCTGATTATCTTCTACACAACTGGGGAAGAAAATGAGAAATTTTGCAAGGACCATAGCAGCTGTGGTCATACATTTTCTCTCTTGTCATTTCCTATTTTTCATGTTGTTTGGGACTTTCCTGAGCATTGGTTTAGACCAGAGGTTCCCAAAGTGGGCGATACCGCCCCCTGGGGGGCGCTGGAACGATCCAGGGGGCAGTAGTAGTCTCGGGTGCAATTAGGGGGCGTTGAATAAAAATAAGGGGGCGGTGGAAGCATAAAGAAAGAAGAGAATATAAGAAAATTTTGAAAAACCGTTCGTACATGTTTCATCTGTTGTGCAACATAGAGTTAAAGTTGAAGTGATTACTTTATTTT